AGATGTGCAAAGCACCAATGAAGTCAGGTGACCAAACTTTGCTGATTTTTGTCTGCTGATGATCATTGGCAAATTACGAAATGATAATCAAAATTGTTAAGTAAATTTAGTGACTCATAAGAATTATTAGAAAAGACTGGTATTGTGGCACCAAATGACATCACCTAAGCAATGATAACAGCATTATCTGTGATGAGTTGAATAATCTTACCTCCTTATAATAATATGCCTTTGATATCTGTAATGTGTGGGGGAAACTCTAGTTATAGATGAGCATGGACAGAGGAAACGCATCTTGTACTACTAATACTTACTGGAACATCTGATACTGAACTTTCACTGCCAACATCTTGAGCTGAACTATTACCGGTACTTGGAATGTCTGATGTGCCACGGTCCCTTTTAGCTGGTGTGCTGACGTTAGAAGCACTCCTGCCTTCAGACTCAGCTTCCCCTTTCATTCTTTCATACTCTCGCATACGCTACAAATGTCATTAGCTTTGTGTTAGTCTAGCTGGGGCTTGGATGCAAGAAAGACAATTACCTAAACTCATGCTGCAATCTAGCAGATATCGTTAAAGTAGACATGACAGCATGTGAATATTTCATACTAAATTTTAGACTGTGCTATGAATAATTCAATCAAGAATTACAACAGACCTCAGACGCAAATAGTAGCCGAGATCTGGTCGAGAGTGAGAGCTAACAAGACTTGTTTTTGCCCCACAAATCATAAGTTCCATTCTCACCTCTCATCACATCAACTGTAACCAAAGTATTGGAACAGCGGAAATGACGACAGAAAATCAAATACTATTTAAGATGCAAAAACAAGTCTTGTGGCTCCCTAACTCTCAACAGTTATTTAGGACTATGGTAAATAAAGCTGGATGAATTAACTCCATACAAGTCAAACAGCGTCATTGATAATACATATTAGTTGCTATGAGACACAATAAACGTAAACAAGCAAACGACATTAGAATTGGTTGGAGCAACAGTTATGAGCTATTAATATGGATGAATATGGAAGCAATGAGAAAAGAATATGGAAGCAATGAGAAAAGCGCAAAGAAAGAATGCTCAACTTCCTCTGTAAACATCTTAACTTTAGCTAACTTAAATCAAGGAGCAGCCAGCAGATCTACACCCAGAGAGAGACCCACATTCTAATTGTACGATTGATACTACATACCTGCATCGCTTTATCTAGGTGTATTACGGTGTCACCCAAATCATCATTAGCAAAGCCAAAACTGTCTAGATGGGCAGAGTTTGGAGTGGACAGAGAACTAGCCGAGCTGACATTCTCAGCATAGTCATAGGAACCAACAGCATCGCTACAGCCAAATAAATTGGGATTCTGAGCATAGAGGCGAGCCTGTTAGGGTGAAAGTTGAAAATACACCAATCAGAACCGAGAAATATGAAAACCATCACTACACTTCATTTTCCATTTCATTCATTAATACTTTTGATATTTCACTAGAAATCAATTTTGAAATTCTCCAGTATGCACAAAAGCATAGTGGTTAACAGATTTATATCTTCTGATCTGCGGAATTGATGAGAAAATAGAAAGCATCAGAATAACTATCAGCGCCAGTTTTTAAAATGCATAAAAAGTAGGCAAATAAAAACAAGATATACCAGTATGCTGACACCGTGATGATCCTTATTTCATTGTAATTATTATACATTTAATTTGAGCTTACCCGGACATCTTCATCATCAGAGGTGACTATACTTTCACTGGGGGTTTGTTCAGAAGTTGACATTTGCCAAGCTGGACGGGGCTGTGAGCAAAGCAAGGCATGAATTAATTGCAATGTAGGATGAGATGACATGAGAATGGAAACATTCCAAGCTTATGAATGAACAGAATAGAAAAA